TCCAGCACCAATAGCAACTCAGAGACCTTTTCCTCCAAGTGTTAGGGCACAGAAGCCTGGCTGGACTCAGCCGGGGTTCCCCGAGTTGTGTGCTTGCAGGATCAGGCCCTATGCTAGTATTTAAGAAAATACTTTTTTATTAGTACTGGTTAAGGTTTTTCTATTTTTCACTTTTGCCAAAAATGTTTTGCACTTAAAATGTGACATGTCTCTTAATGGCAGTCATTCTGTCTGAACAGTCACCAAGAAACTCACTTTGACATAAGAATGATCCACTGGCTGTGCTCGCTCTGGGTTGCTGAGTTCACGGCGTGTTTCCTGTCACTGACGAGTGTGAATTTCCTGCCACCCTGTAAGAAGTAGCAATACCTTCTCCAGAACCTTGTTTTTCACACTGGCCCGTTGTGTCCTCGCTGCTTTGTCTATTCATGCTCCAGCTATTCAGTCGATCTCTGGTCACCACCCCTGAGCCAGCTGCTCTGGTAACTTTGATCTTGCTGTGTAATGTTCTCTTGGCTGCTGTCATGCCAACACTTCCGGCTTACATGTTCCCCTCAATGAGATTGCTTCTGATAAAACACTTGGATGAGTAGAGATGATATAACTAGCCTTCCCAGATAAATGATTCCCTGATGTAAAAGTAACAATTTAGTAAATTATTCCACTGAGACAATAACTTTATGAATGAAACAAATGAAATGGGATACAATTTGTTTTGTAGTGTTAAAAAGAAAATTAAAAAATCCTGTCATTTGATCTTGCTTTGTAAGGTACCCACTGTCACACTGACAAAGTGGATTCTAGAAGTGTGTTAAGGCTTTTGTTGCTTTTTAGTTTGTATTTGTTGGAAGTGAAGATGTTTTTGAGAGGTGGCAGCAAAGGGCACATGTAAAATGTGCTCAGTGCTTCTTTCCACAGTGCCCCCTAACAAAACCACCATATTTCTAACACACAGTAGCATGGATGCCTCTCTGTAGAGCTGAGCAATTTTGTGCCTTTTGTCTGCTTTGTTCATACTCTTGACTTATGCTTGATAGATGCTACAAAGACATCTAGGTAAAAGCACTGCTCACATCTGTCCTTGTGCGTCCTGCATTTTTATTTTTTGGTAGATGTTAAAATCTCTTGAGCAGCTCAGAAGGCTGAGCAGAGGTGTGTGCCCAAGGAAACATTCCATTAGTTGTTCCTTTGGATTTGAACTTCAAATCTCTATTTAATGAAGGTGTGGCTACTTTTTCCTCCTAAATGCTATTTAGTCTTCTTGTCTTTTTTTTTTTTTTTTGCACATTAGAAATATTCATGTTCTAAATTATTTAAATCCTATTTTTTAAAAAAAAGTGGATTGTATGAGCTTGGTTTTGTAACTGACACTTTTTTTTTAAGAGAAAAAAAATCTTATTTTTTGGGAACAGTTGATGTAATAGTTTTCTGTAACAAAACCAGAATGATGCTGTTGTAGTAATTACTGAACTGCTACCGAGTATCATCAGGAACACTTGTACTTTATCACCTGCAAGAATTCACTTTACAATGGATCCACTCTTGTTCTAGAGATTAGTCTGATAAGTACCTAAGAATATTCCTACAGTTTGTAGTATCATCACAAAGAACAATGGAAAAAGCAGAGTTAAACCCATGAAACATCCTCCCAGAGCTCTCCCACACACCAAAGACACATCCTCACTAAATAGCCATTGCAAACCTCTGCGTGTCAGGCATGCAGGCCTGGGCCCCTGGAGGAGTAGACCTCTTTCAGCTGGGATGGTGTGACTGTCAGGGCTACAGAGATGCTGTAGCTGACCTTTTAAGGAGAAATTTGAATAATTTTCTGCTTGTAATTTATTGAAGATTTTCTCTGTCTGCATGGTTGGTTGTTTCTGCATGCCGAGGACATTCCACTTGTGCTCTGACCAATGTTTTGTTCTGTTCTGATGCTATGAAGAATTCCCTGATGCCATTGCCACTGTTTCTTTCCCAGATTAACTTGGGAGACACAAACGTAAAATGTCCTTTCAGAAAAGATCCCATCAGCAAGAGATTCCAGAACAAGATTTACAAGTGTCATTTTATTTTTCTGATAGTATGTTTTCAGTATATTTTGCAGGACTGAAAAGTAACTATTCATAAGCCTTATTCTGTAGGTCGTTCCAATAGCTGTCTTGGAATAACAAGTAAATACTTTCCTTTTCAAGTAGCCGATGTACACTGAATTGTAATGTAAAAACTTCCATGTACTTCAATTTTTTTTTTGTGCACACCTGTAGAAAGCCTATGCAACCTTTTTCTTTGATTAGAAATGTTCAGAAAGAAAATTTATACCTTTATCATTTAAAAGATGCTCTGGCAGTCTCTTCTGATTTGCCTTCCTTTCATAATTTGTGAATTTAAAAAGAGAATGCTCATGAATAAAAAAATTGTTTCATTTAGTAGTGGGATGCCCTTTCTCTTTCCATGGAAGCCTTAGTTCAGTGGTGTCAGTCACTGACTGTCCAGGAGCAGTATGACACCCGAGCATGGTTCCCATGGAAGTGATTTGCCAGGTTAATCCGGGTTTGGTGTGGGGCTTTTCTGCTCTGCTTATTCTCCCAGACACTCTGGAGGTAAGTTTTTTGTTTAAATTGGATAGCTATATCCAGGGAAAATGGGGCTGCACAGCAACAACAGCTTTAGGAAAGGCTGGGGAACATGTGCTTCATTTTGGCAAGTAAAAAGGAAATAGGTAAAGGTGTACCCTTGCTTCTGAAAATCCCATTTCATTTAATCTTTATCACCAACAGAGATTCTTGATTAGAACTCTTAAAACATTGCTCTGCATTATTGCAGCATTGGACACGTGCATGAGGAGGAAAACTATTCTTAACAGATTGTGGTCAGCATTTTTCAAGTGTTAGATAATGCCCTTCTGGTTTTCTTTAAACATTCATCCAGAGTGCTGGAAACAATCTTGCTGGAACACTTTGTTTTTATGCAAAACAGAAAACAACATTGCCTGTAAGTGGGGCAGGAAACACTACCCAGTCCTGTTCCTTGCCTTCCGTGGCATTGCTTCAAGGCAATCTTTGAGCAGTTTATCCACTTGGGTAAAAGATGTGAGGAGTTTTAGACACAGCCAAATATGATTTTTTTTCACTTTTTATTCATAAAGCATCCAGTTGCTTTTGAAGAGTAAATCTGTTAAGATAGTTAATTAATGACTTTTTTCCTTGTTATGAAATTACTTCTGCAAGTCAAAATATTTCTTCTGGCATTACCAACAGTACTCTCTGCCTCACTGTTCCCACCAGTAGTGATTAAGAGATACAGAACCCATGCAGTATTGAGATCTAGACACTTCCAGCTTTAGTTCCTTAGCAACTGCTGACCTGAGCCTGGCTCAAGTGCTTGGTGTTTTGTCTTTTTTTTTTTTACTTTTCTGTGTGTGTGGTTTTGTTTTGTTTTGTCCTTGTGGGGTTTTTTGTGGTTTTTTTTTACTGTTTTGTGGCAATTATGCTTCAAAATTTGACACAGTAGAACAACAAGAGGAAAAAGGATGACTGGAGCTAAGGAAATAAACTAGTCTGGGAGGTGTGTGTGTGAAGAGAGAAGATGCTGACAATCTTCACTGGTAGAAGTGCTGTTCAGCTCTCATAAAGAGGAGGCAGGAGTTAGCTGTTTGATTCCAGGATCCATCTACACAGGGTGCAGATTCCTGAGGAACCAAGGAATATGAAGCAGTGCCAGTTCTTCTTTGTAATGCTGCTTTTTCTAAGTGGATGCCTCAAAGACTCCCAACTTTTTATTTCAACTGCAGAACATTGGCAGAATCCTTGAAGTCATGTTAGATTTAAGAAGAAAATAAAGCTCAGGTAAGTAGTAGGCCACTTTAGGCTCAGGCTGGCTGGGATCTCTGCAGTTGGCTTATTTTTATTTCATATGCCTCAGATTCACAGAACACTGGCACCTAAGGCTGAAGACAGTCTGTCCAACTGTAATGGTACCTGAAGAGGGGAGGGCAATCTTATATTTCCTTTTTTAAAACAAGGCTGAGTTACTGCCAAACCACAAACTGACTGGCAGCCTCTCTCCTGCTGCCTTTCAGGTGTTCTTCCAAATGTTAGATCCCTTATTTCTTACACATGATCAGGCTGCAGATTGGCTTGGAAGCAGCATGACACTAGAAATCGTGCATCACATAATCAATCAGCCCTTCTGCTGGTGGGTGAGCAGCTGTAGCAGCTTGAGGAGATCCAGATGCTGGAAGGAGTTGCTGCAATGTGTGGTTGAGAAGGCAGGCTGCTCTTCCCTGGAAATATGACAGCCACCTTCGTTTCATCACTGCACAGGCCCTAGATTTGGCTTGGTTTAAGCTGGAGGGATGTTAAGAAGATGCTGTGGCTTCATTACAGCAGCTTGGTGATGGCAGGAGATTTGCAATACAGAATTCTAATGTCTTAATTTATGACTAGGACAACAAGCAACATGTTATCAAGTTAATCACAACAAAACTGACACACAGCCTTAACACAAAACTTGAATTAACTTTATTTTCCCCTACAGTTGACAACTGGTCTGCATTGAGCTTTAAAGCAACAAAATAAAATGAAATCTCCAAACGACAGGGGCCAGAAATCCAGATTTAATTACCTTTGTGAAAATGTTGCAGCTGTAGTATTGGTCTGTATAAACCACTGGAGTCAAAAATGAGTTCATAAATCAAAAAAATATTCTACACCTTGGGAAAGAAGTCAGCAGTAACATTCTCACAGAACACTGTAAATTTACATTTTCTTCATGAAAGGTACATACTATTCTGCATTTTACATCAAGTTATTGATGCAAGTTTTGTTTCTATAAAAAGTTACAACCTGTGGCAGGAAAACAAATGGCAAAAAAACCCTTTCATTTTAATCAAAGAAAAATTTCAAGTCTGTATAAAGTTTCCTTATAGCTGGAAAGTGAACACGTTCAATCTCCATTCATATTTTAGTGCATTTAATCTGACAGCTTTCACCACTTAAAAAAAAAAACAAACCAAAACCAGTATAAAAGACAGACAAAGCAAATAGCACTAGAGCAGGAATTTCTTCAATTGATTTAAGCACTCTAAATAAAAATGCAGAGAAACAGATTTCCAGAAAAACTTCCACCCTCGCCAGAAAGGCTTCAGTGAGGGCTGAAGAGGTTTGCAAATCTTCTACCTCTGATAGCCACAGAAAAGGGGTTTTGTATACCTGTCAACCTTCTTTTCCCCAATAGCCAGGCTATACTTGTTTTACCAATGTAAACATTCACCTGAAATAGTTTAATTTCTGTTCTGAAGCACCAGCAGCTCCATGGTGCTCAGTTGTACGTTGTTACAGCATTCATTACTGTCGTTTCAGATCTTTCAGGAGGTTACAAATTTAGCCCTTGTATCTACAGTGTGCAAGATTTGCCTTGTCTACCTTGTGAAATGACAGTGTAAGGCAGCAATACTGCAATCCTGTGTTGAACAAAAGCAGCTTGTCCAATTAATCTGTCCTGTCACCTCTTGTGAAAACTGCAGCTTTGCTTCTTACACTCCAGCTCAAAACCAGCCTGCAGCAAGAGTAAAAGGACATTGAAAGAAACCATTGAAAAATAAGCATGGGAGCAACTTGTTTTGAAAGTTGAATTTGAGAGAGCTCTGCCACCTCTTTCTTGTTGAAAAAGAGTCATTTTCAGGTGTCACCATTCCAGTTTTCATACTGCTGCTATTCAGCTGAACAGTGTTCTCCAGAAAAGATTGACAAGTAATGCATGTGCCAAGGACCAAATTACAGGGTTCTTTGGTAAAGTCAGTCCAAATTTACAACAGATTTGAAGGATAATATGTACCAATAAAAAAAATGCTGCTAGACTTGGATAGCAGCTCTGTCTTGCTTCACATTACAAATCTAAAACAGCTGTTCTCAATAAGCCAATATTTTTAATCAGACATTGCCTGAAAATTTTGTACAATAATCTGGACCAATGATGGTTCTGTACCCTCATGTTGCTGTGAAACATGATTTGAGCTAAAGGCAAAGACTGGTTATCTCAAGGACAACTGCTTCGTATTAGCAATCAGAACAGTGTGTTTAAACTGTCTTCCTGTTGGGTCTCTTGCCTTTCTTTAAAATTAGTTTATTCTTAATGTAGCCACGCTTCCTTTTGGAGGTCTAAAAAGAAAAACAGAATAACAGGTATTAGTTAATGATTTAGTCTTGACCGCGGTTTAATGATGTGCATTCAATGCCTGAGCTTTAGATTGATTTTAAAGAGCTTAAATGCTAAACCCTCAACTAGGCATTATCCGGTTATTATTTTTAATGTTGGGACTGTTAATTCCTGCCCAATAGTTGCTTTTGCACAAGATGTGCTTTTGTAACCCTGTCTACCAGATCTGTAGAATTGTTTTCAAAGCATGTCCTGAGACAAAATTAATAATTAACCAACATGATAAAACTCTAATAAGCATAAAGAGCACAACTGGTATAAGTGTTAGTTTTGTTTGGAAATACCTTCTTGCATCTTTTGCACTATTTGATTCTCTCACAAGTTAGGTAGAAGTATTTGCTCAAAGCATTTTTTCAAAGAAAAATACCTGAATAATCCCATTTTAGTCTTCTAAACTCCACTCTTGGGCTGTAGGTTGCTTAGTTAGCTTCCTGCACATTCCTTTATCAGCATGTTTTAGATTTTTTTTTAAAGTAGTGATGCAGGAGAACATTAATTTTGGTCATAGGTAAAATTAACTCCAAATTTGTGTATATAGTTTGTGGCAGGTAGAACTGTACCTTCAACACACCTGCCAGGAAGCAGCTCCCACCCTTGCTGCACTTTGCTGTGCTTACCAACAGGGTCTATTATTATTTTAAAAATTTGCATTTAATCAACATGACACCAACGACATTATAATAAAGTGAGATAGATGCAAACTAATATGCAATATTCAGACACACATTGTATCTCTGAGCTTGAGCAATAACACTCCTAACATGAATGTTAAGAGATGGACTGAATTTCCAGTAAGGAAGTAACTGCTGAAAAACTCTGGCTACTAAGGAGCCCTTGGAATGTATTTAAAGGAATCCTAGTTTGGACACCTGCACCCTCTCTCCACTGGTTCTCTGACTTCTTAATGGGAAGTAGAGCCTGTTTGTACTGCAGCAGTTGGTGATGGGTCAGAAATTACATCAACTTCTAGACAGAGAATCTACACATCCAAGGCTCAAGTGTTGTGAGTGCATCTACCATAGATATAAATACAGCCTTGCTCATCACTTAAGATCAGAAGTCACAGTGTTAAGTGTATGACAGGCACAATAAAGATTATCATTGTAAGATATGTCTTGCTTCAGTGGCAACTCCCAAATGCCTTATTGAATGTACTTCCCATCAAATCACAGAAATAAGCATCTTTACATTTAACATTTTCTGCTTGCAGAGAATGTTCTCTACTTGTATTTCCATGACACACTGTAAGTCTACTGCCTATACCAATTTGTTAGACAGGATTCTGGAGCTCCCTTTGCAACATCTATTTGAATGTATAGAAAACAGATGTTGTGAAGGAGAGTGCTGCTAACAGTCTCCCCAACTCCCCTGGGAACAGGCCTTTCTTAATAGGCTGAAGGAGGGCAGCACAACAAACACTTTAAAACCGTGAAGATGACTTCAAGCAGTAAGCAGACAGACACTAAAGTTCCATCAACAAAAGTTTCATATTTAATTTATTTCATACAAAATTGCCATTTGTAAACTTCTAGGCATCACTACTTTCAAACAAAGTCAGAAAGCAACTTCCACATTTACTTAGTGAGCCATAGTTACTGAAACATGAATTGATGTACTTTAGAGATTATACTTCAGTTACATGAAGACATAAGAGTTGTAGCAGCCAGTGACACACTCTATGTCCAGTTAGCATTCTGCCTAAAAAAAATCTAGCCTTGTGTCTTCACATGCTTTTAAGTTAAGCAGACAGTAAATTAACAATTATTACCAGCAGGCAGGTCTGATATTGGACACTAACATGAACAGTATCCATTAACATTCTGGCTAGTGGAAATCTATAATTCACCAGCTATGTGATTCACTGTTAAAAATAAGCTCCTGACCCCTTTCAGTTACTTCACTGGGAACCCACCTTCTTTGACAAATACTTCTGTTTCGGTACCATGTTGGTTACTCTAGGTTTATGATCCAGTGTCTCTCTGTTGTCTAGTTGTTTGACCTTGTATATTCTAACAAGCCAGTGCTCTGAGGTAAAGGCTTCCTCCAGATGTTTAAATTTAATGTCTTTGTTGCCTATCTCTGCATTGCGCGTACGGTCAAATCCCGGGGGTGTCCGAAAATCCAGCTATAAAAATTAAAGTTGTGTGTTAGTTTGAGACAAAACCCAGAACATCAATCACTGCAAACTGTGAAACTTCATATAAGGCAATGCCTTCAGCTGGCCCTAGTCAAAGGGCAACATTTCTCTTGCATTGGTTACTATTACACAGAAAAACCTTTAAGATCCTCAGGGACAAATTCATTCTGAATCCTACAACTGTCACAGGAGACAGTACTTAATGTCTCAGCAAAACTACCCTGTCTGCATTTAGAGATGAAACAAAGAACAGTCTGAGGTGCAGCAGCCTGCAGTGTTTTTTCAGCAGAGCTGCTGCCTTTGTTGTCTTGCCTATACTGCAATAATTTGCACTACCACGGTTTTCCAAACAATCCAGAAGTAGTTCACAATTATCAGTTAAATTTGTCCCCACTGTGTTACAAGTAAAATCCACTGAAAAAAGGATTATTGTGCTAATACATCAGAAGGAAGGGCTCCTGGTGGGGGCAACAGGGGAAGAAAAGGAAAAAAAACAAAGAGATTTAGCTCCATCCATGTGTTTGGTGCTCCCAAAGGGGAGTGACAACTGCTGCCCTTACTGTACAGTGTAGTGTTGTTTTATACTGACGTGACTTGGATGGAAATCACATAGTTTCTGACAGACATTAAACAGTCAATAGTTCCACTTCTGTGTTGCTATTACAACAAACAAATCTAAAGCTCTCCACAATGTCACGGTTGATGCTTTAGTGAGCACACAGCACAGTGCAATCAAGATACTCATCTGGGGCAATGTGAAGGACACCAAAAAATGAAGTAGAAGTGTGGATTAACAGCAGAAATGCTTTTTGCTAAAGGTTATAAACAGCAGACCATGACTGGATGTGTTTTAATTTGTAAAGCTCACTCTTACTGCAGATTCTGCTACTACAAGCAATGCTTAATTTAAAAGATAGAAAATACATAAAAATAGTATTTGCTTTCTCATATTTCAGTTAAGATTCAGAAGAAGTTGTAGCACTAACCTGCATCTCTCCAAATCTGTAATAGGACATTTTATACATGAGGCAGTTCAGCAAAGTTGGAGAGCCTGCCTTGTCTACCCGGAATTCTCCCTGAGGGGTAAAGTAATCACTTTCCTTTAAAAAGAAAAGAAGATACAAAGAGTCAATGCAAACTAAAATCATAAGGGAATTTCTCATTCCTTTCCCCACAGAAAGACTCCTAAGAATCTCAACTGGCTATTACACTTTAAAAGCTGATTTAAGGTAGCCTTAAAATGAAAGAGATGGTGCTCATTGAAAGTGACATAGTTGCGAACTACCTGCTTGTAACCCAGATGCCAGTGGATCTGTACTTTTTTTCTGTTAAAAGTTCTGTCACATCACTGTAAGTAGTTCTGGAAAAGTTACCTCAAACTGTAAAATTTAGTTGAGCATCTATTCTTCAGAAAGGCAACAAACTCTCTATTGTTAAAATACAAGATCTGCAGGGTGACTATAAACTTCAAATATTCTCTGTGTTTAAACAAAAAATTTCTGCCATTTTCATCTCAACTACAAGATGAAAGTACGCACATGGACTACTCCCTTAAGCCTATGCTCAATATCTAGGAGTTTTTGTTAGGCTTAAGAAAATATTACTACAGACTTCTGCAATCTCAGAGGTGTTTGAATAGCTTAAACTCTACATGAGTCAATATTAACACTTTCACTTGTCTCCTGCTATTACAGGGTTTGAAGAAATTTGTAATGTTGTTTAAACACTCTGAATGCTCCTACTTTTTTCAAAGTGATGATGCACAGAGACATACAGACAAGAATTACAAAAAAAATCCTACTTTTAGTATTGTGCAAAAATGTGAAAAGCTTTTGAGGCTACTGACCTTTCAGAATCAAAAACATTGAAAGAAACTGGGCTACAGGCAACTGCACTCCTACTATTCTAGAAAAACAATCCCAGCATATTTCAAGTAAAATGGCAATAGAGTAGAAGAGATTTCCCTCCACTGTAGTGACCACTCCCAGACAAGTGATAACACAAATAAGGTTTTTTTAAAAGAACAAAAAAGAGAGGTTCCACTTACCCGTATATCTTTGGGATGTTCCCCCTCTGCTATTCTCACCATCCACAAGAACTTATTAATATCATCACCAGAGTAGCCAATCACACCACCAAAAATAATCAAAACATAGTCCACATCCAGGCTTCTCATGATCTCGTATGCTGCAGACTCATTTGATGACATTGCCTTTCCCACCTGTATCATGGCAAAAATATCTTAAATTTCTGCATAGCTGCCTATTGAACAGCTCCACAGATTAATACAGCCAGACCAAAGCCCAGGAATCCTATGCCATATACTCTAGAAAGGCCCTGCTTGGGCAGGGAGGTTGGACCAGGTGATCCACTGTGTTCCCTTCCAGCCTGTGGTTCTGTGATTCTCTAACATCTACCTGTCAACCAAAGCCAACATTTTCATTCTAGATAAAGAAAACATATTGTGAATATTTAGAAACTCAAAAGCCCAAATGAAACTGAAATATTTTCTCCTCTGTAAGAGGAGTGCTGCCTGTTGAAAGGAGTGTTTTGAGTACGAAATGCAGCAACAAGGGTTTTCCTTTTGTGGCACTTACATATTTTTCAAGTCATAACTTTATTACCAAAACCTTAAGTGTTGCAGAAAATACCTAATTACAAATTATTTTCAAAGCTTCAAACACAGCCCAAAGTGTAAACATTATTTGAAATTTTTGAAATGTGCATTCTTATTTTTTTTTCCTTGAGCTCTGTCCTTCATTAATGAAGCCACCATTGTGCATTGCACTAAGTAGCACACAGGCACGCTCAGCACTGAATTCAAGGTAAATCTACACAGAGAAAATATCAGAATAAAACTTTTTAGAGCTGCATTCAGAACCTCTTGTATCCTGGTCAGTTCCCACATTTAAAAGCATTTGGTCAGCAATTGGCATTCAGCAGTTCAGCAGTTTTGTTTGCTCTTGAAGCTCTTGTACTTAAGGCATAGTAAGGTATAGCTGTAGTCTAAGGGATTAACTATAATATACATAACATTGCATCTGACTTAGTAACATTCAGCTAAGAATGTAATTAGAGAGCACTAAGCTTAGGCAGCAAGCTGTCAAAAGACCAAGAACCTCAGCTTCCTGGTTTTTATCCTAATTAACGTGAGGTTATTTGCCAGATTTCCATCTCTGTGCTGGAAAAAATCATCTGGACATCTCCAGGGCATGCCTCGTTTACAGCACAAATGCAGGTATTGGCCACAACACACATTTATTGCTTGGGTCCCCCTTTATGGAGTCTTCATTCCAAAATGGAACTTGACAATGCAGCAGTTGTACTTGAGAGAATTCTTTACTGAAAGTCATTATTGCCAGTTGCTGCTATGTGGTTACTGTCCTTCAGCAGCACAGATGACTTCCACAGTCTCTATTCACATGATGCACCTTGTCCTGCAAGAAACTTGAGTTTGGATGCAGTATCTGCATTTCTACCTCCTGTAGCACAGGGAGGCAACACAGAGTTATCAGAGCTGAGTGCCCATTAAAACACACCAATACTGTCAGGTCAACAACCAAATTAGGAGTGCCTCAGAGCACGTGGCAATGCATGTTGACTGACATCAGACTAATATTAACACCATCAATACAATTTCCCAAGCTTGCTTCTAGCTGAATGTGAGTTTCCTGCCCTGCAAAAAGTGTGGGTGTGTGATCCTTCTTCCCCCAATACACATTTTTTTGCGACTCTGCTCAAAGCACAGCTTTGTTAATTTGTTGGCTTTGTACACTCCTTTTGGACAGATCTGGTCCACAGCTGTAGTCACTCCTGACACAAGACGGAAAGAACACAAGAAACTATCCTAATTATCCTAATTTCTTGAGCTCTTCTCCCATTCTGCCCTTGTAGCAAAACAAATTTGAGAAGACAGAACTGCATTCAGTCTGCTACACTTCCACAGCTAGTCATAAATAATCACTTCCTGTGATTTCCCAATGTCTGAAAATTTGTCAAGTCATATAGTCAGTTTTCAGAATGCCTTTAAAAAAATTCACTCAGCAGTGGCACTGCTGAAATGCAAGGATCCTTAGTTTGATAGGCCAGTAATGCAGTCGTACCAGTTGTTACAGCATTGATCCCAAGGGGAATGGTTACCTTAGGTTTTGTCTATCTTCCCCCAAGGAAAAGAAGAGAAACTGAAGTGGAAGTGAAGTTTTGAAAGCTCCAAGTAAACAAAATGAAAACTCTGAAGCAAAATTGATCCGTATACTTGAGTTTTAACAAATGAAAAAGGTATGTTCCTTCCACAATTGCGTATACAATTTCTCCTTAATATCAATCACCCAAAGAGACATCTGCAATTTCATACTGGACTGCAGTATGGTGTTTCTGCTCCACAGAAAGCTGCCACCCTTACCAAGGCGATGTGGCTGTTGTTCCAAGTGTTGTTATCAACCAGGGTTGTCCGGTTGGCCATTCCTGCTATCTGATACCCATAATCCCACCACGACATCACTCTGGCATGCTCGTCTGTGTTCTGTCTGAGCCAGTAATAGGCTTCTCTGAAGTCATCCAGGATATTCCGAGTGCTGGAAAACAATTCATTTGATCTGCATCTGTTCAAATACTACCAACAAATTAACTGCACCATGATAAGTCTGGGTTCACAAATAAGGGTTTTCTTATGAGTTCAGGTCCCTTTGAGGGATTTTGTCACCAGCAGTCATAAGTTTGAATTCTCTGACAGCTGAATGTCCAGAAGTTGAACTGCTTTTGTAGATGACTAAATAAATTTCCAGTCAAATATATATTCTTAAACAAGTTTTCCCAGTTGACTCCAAGGCTTTTTTTTAACCATCATTTTTACTGGCTTTAGGTAGGATTATTTTTATATATTTCATCAAATATTTCAGAAAATGTTGTATCTTTTTGAAAATTAGAGTATGAATAATTTTTAATTCAGGTCACAATTCCTTTATATAATAAGGAGTGATTTAAAGAAGGCAAAGCAAATTGCTAATACAATAGCAGTAAAAAAGGCTTTTGCCCTTTAATCACTTCAGACTGTAGACCTTACCCATCATGGTTATAGGAGGCGAGAACCACGCTGGGGCTGGAGTAAGCATTGCTGGTTACCCAGGTACAGTGAACAGCAAACATCATCAACAACATCAGCATCAGCATAGTCACAATATTTTTGATATTGGGACCCAGCCCTTCTTCTGTTTTTTCCTGCTCGGACACATGTTTCCTCACTTTGCCTGCCTAAACAAACACAAATGCATCTGTTATGGCAAATTCTATCATCCTTGACATTGGAAATCAAGTTTCCTAAGGCTTGCTTCCTCCCCTCACCTTATCATACAGGTTGCCAGGGTTCCTTTTGTCATCCTCATCACTGCTGTCTTCTATTGGTGGATTTTCCCTCTTCATATCATCACCCAAGTAACGCTCAAAGACATTGGAGAAAGCAATTGCTGACAGCATACAGACCACTGGAGTCAAAGTGAGCATCAGGCGAACCATCACTCCAGCAAAGTAAACAGCGCTGATTGCATACAGAGCAACTGCAAGGGAACACATCTAATGGTGACACTTAGAAAATAATACTCACTCTGACTGCACACGTACATGCTCTCCATAAAACTACTTCTAGAAGTGGGTTGAGCATCTGTGTGTATAAAAGCTTGAGTGTGCATCTTGCATTTCACTGCTTTTTAATTTACAGACATACGGCTGAATAAATGTTTATCCCTTTGAAGCCTCAAACCCTTCCTGAGATTCATCTTGACAACTGTTAACAATAACACAACTCCATTTTCAATATTCATTAGTAATGTGTCAGAAGATACATTATTAGTGAAATTTAATATTCCACACCAACAATACTACTGGAATAATAGGTAACTTCATTTGATTAAAAAAGTCAAACAGCTTTAGACCAAACAAGTCATTAGAAACTGAAAAAGCAAAAGGAAGTGTTACAATTTCAAGTAAATATTATATTTTAATTTAAGTTAGAGGTATCTGTGGACAAATTGGGGGCTTGTCTACATTATAATTCTATACAGATGAATAACATTATATTAGGAATCCTATTCTGAAGGAAGTATTCCTGAGCAGTATTACCTCCATTTTGTCTTCCACAAAACATAAATCAAGGTTTTCAGAATACTACAACACATCAAGAACACATTTATTGGAAAGAAAAAAACCCCAAACAATCCTGTATACACTGATTGGGAATATCCAATAGTGGTTTCCTTGTGGTAGACTCCTAGTCTGCTACAGTTTAACAATATCCTCTTTTGAAAGATTTGCCATTGAGATCAAGGGACACTGATTTATCAGATTACATCATGTAAGTATTTTCTACATTGTGGTGAGGCATCTCCATCCTCAGTCATAGGTCTCTTTATGCTGTGTTGGATGGAAGGTGCAGCCTTCAGTAGGAAGCTGAAAGCAAATTGACCAGCACTGGTCTTGACAAACATTCATTGTAAGGCACGCAGCACAGACTACCTCAGAGTAAACATTCCTATGCCCACACGTCTTAGGTAGCCTAAGTGGCAGCTATATTAGCCTGGAGCCTCCTGTCCCTCTAAAAGTCCAAGACCTGAGTGATCTTCACTCCTTCATATGGGTTACAACTGCTTGCAAGCCTCAACGAAAAATCAGAAGCTGGCTTTCACAATACAGCTTTGCACAAATAAAAAAAAAGTTGTCACTGACATAGGGAGACTCCACACTTCCATTTTGGCTTGTGCCTTTTGCAGCACTTGTTCCAAAGCAAGTGCTTCTGTTCAGTAAAACAGCAGAAAACCTGGAAAGCAAAGGCATTTTGAATGGGATTTGTGATGGGATGAGTGCCAGGCGCCCAGAGCAGGGACCCTGCCTTTGCACTGAGCTGTTCACCTGGCTGACCTGTACTGTGGAACTGTATCCCACCAGAACATGCAACTCCAGCTGCAGAACTGAACACAACAAATGACTGCATCCCACCTCCTGGGACTACACTCCATCACCATTTCAGCAACCTCTGCACTTTTACAAACTGTTTTAAAGACTGCTGGGTGCAGGCAACTCTTAGCAATCACCTTTAAACACATCACTTTTAAACCGTGTTTTAGAACAAGCCACATATGAGCTTTGAGCAAACAAAACCAAAGTAAAATCAAGGTGAAGGCAAACTTTTTCAAAATAATTTAAAAATATTTTCTCTTACCAAAGACTCTTTCATCATTGATGTTTTTGATACAGAACCACAGCCCTGCTGGGAAAGTACACACGAGAATATGCAGATCAAAAAAGAAGGAAACCCATGTTGTAGGCTGATGCTCAGACACAGAGGCAATGATCGGGATGTGAATTTTCGCATACCTTTTTTAAAAAAAATTCAGTTCAAATTATTTTGAAAAGATAAAATTAAAACTTGCAAACATTAGGAATTTTGAAATTCATCTCAAAGGAAGCATTTCAATTTTAAATGGCAAGTGCCCTAATCAGCAGAAATCTGATGAAACTCTTATACCAAAGAAGTCCCCAGGCCTTACTGTATCTAGGAAGCATTTGGTGTATAGTTATTTAAAACAGCAACTATTTCCATACTAATTAAGACAATGAAAATTACGGATGTTTCATTTGTTTATTGCTAAATATGAAGCCAAATTCACCAAAATGAAAACACACAACTATGGAAGCACCTTTGCTACATTTTTGAAGAGAATCAATTTAATTTTCTTAGTAAAGAAAGTTACAGTGTTAAAATACCAGATCAGTTACTGATGCACCCACATTCTTTCAGATGCTTGAAAAATATCAGGCCTTGTCTACACTTGGAAACACGCCACCTAAATAACATGTCAAACACTCAGTGCAGACAAGGACAGAACTGTGCTCTGTATTACAGACAACGATACATATGGACCTAATCTAGGGTGCTATCATGATTGAATGCTGAGGTATCAAACATATGTCCTTTTCTTCACTGAGATCCAGTTCTCATTCAAAACTGTATTGTGTGTTTTAACACAGTATGTTTTTCTAATGTAGACAAGCCCTCAAAAGTTTAATGCTTTGTATATATACAAATATATGTATATATATAAGTAAATATAGACAGGCAAAGAACAACATCCATATATTCCCCAAGTAAATCTGAAGCTTCTTTATTGACATCTGTTCTACTACATTTATTATAGAGCTGGGACAGAATCCTGTATGAGCTGGATTTTGAAGCCTGAAAACTGGAAGTCTGAAAAGTCTGAACTGTACAGAGTTCGAAGTTCTTCTATCCTTGCTTTAAATATTAAAAAAAAAGTCTACCAACAGAATTTCACTTTAAAATATTTATCTGAGAAAAAGACTTTCCATTTTGTTTGTTTTCTCTGGGCTGACTAAAGAATCCAGTAAATCCAATATAGTATTTTCAAAGGTTAACTAAAACAAGAGATTAACAAGATTAATTATTATTATTTATTAATGTGTGAAAACACACATTAATAAAACCATTGTTCAGAGCAGACATCTGTATATACAAAAGGAATGTATGAACGTAATACAGAGGCAACGTGCAAGATCATATGCACAACATTTTTGTTGCACACTGAATATAGTCTAAGGCTCTTAGTAATTTTTAAATGTGTACTCAAGTGTTGGCATAGCTTTCAGTTATTTCACACTGACATACACACTAGACTTTCATATAGAAAAAACATATTTCGTATTCAAAGACTTGCAAAGAAGCAAGAAATTTCATAGACAAATTAGTGAAATGGTTGTAAAGATCATGAAACAGCTACTACAAACACTCTTTAGATAACTGATTCTCCTTGACTGGAATACTAAATGGATTTGGGGATGAGGAGAGTAAATGATTATTAATTTTCAGTAAAATGTTACCGATATCTGAATCTTGTATCCTTACTTACCCAGTGTCCCACAGTGAATAAAATCTACCACTCCAAGGAGCAATATAACCTGAAAAAGAGAAAGAAAAACCTTTTTGCTGCCTAGGTTTTTAAATGCAATAGTTTTTCTACTCCCTCAAGTTATAACATAAAGCCAAAGAAATTTTCATTGAACTTGTAATATATGTGAACCATACCTACTGCATTTGACAGGCTATAAAATCTACCAACCATGAAGCAAGCTGGTTTTAGAACACACTTACAGGATCACATTGTACTTGTTAAGTACAATCTGAGTATCAAGACACGCACACTTCCAAAAGTCAAAGCTATGCAATATTGAATATTTCTCAAATAATATGACAGATTGCAAACTATACTCTATGAAGGTGCATGAGAAAAAGAAAATGTAATTGGTAAGAAAGTATTTCATTTTTCTGAAATGTCAGAGCAGGAAACTGGGAACACTCTATAGCCAAAATACAAACACTAAATTAAACGCTGGTTTCCTTTTATTTCTCTCCTGGTAGATCTACTTACGGCATGGAATATAAGAGCTGCTATTAGACATGCTGATAAGTTTTGCATATTATTTTATAAAACAAGGCTTTTAGATAAGTTGAATATGGTAAGATGAAAAGAAACAGTATAATTATTAAATTAAAGATAAAAATTATTATTAAAAGTTATTAGATGATTCTTAAACTTTTATTTACACTTTCTTTGCAACTGTTTCAGCTCCTCCTGAAGACAGATACAGACGAAGAGAAATAAGAGAAGCTTAAATCCTTTCATGATTATCCAAGCTTTTGTGCATGACTCAGTAAGTCTTCCCCCTATCTTACATTCAAAATTAGTATAATCTGACTGAAGGGTTTCGTTTAGTATCTAATTTAGATGTTTAAATATTGTGGTTAATGTTCTAATACAAGACATATTTTTCCCTTCAGTCTTCAGATGATGAAATTGCTCCCAATCCACTGGAAGCACATGAAGAAGGAGCTGTCAGCACACAAGAACTACTGGTTATGATCTTCTCTGGATGTAGACAGCATTCACCTGAGGGTGCTGGAAGAGCTGGCCAGCATGAAGGCTACCCACCATCTTCCCCTGAGTGAAAAGGGTGCCTGGGAATTGGCTACTGCTGCACCTCCAGGAAAGGCAGGAAGTTATATGCAGGAACCTACAGGGCAGTAACCGAGTAACTGAGCTGCTGAAAAGAACATGGAACACAGCCTCCTGAAATACATTGATAAATGTTTTCCTCATTGCTCATTTACAGCTGAAGAGGAATGGACAGGACAAAGGGACCACGTGACTGCTTGAAAACTGGCTGTCCTGACAAGCTCAAGGTAGTACACAGTGGATCGGCGTCCAGCTGGTGGCTCACAGAAAGTAGAAATATCCCAGAGGCCAAAAGGAACTGTGCTAAATTGAGGCTGACATGCCTTGTACAGGCAGGACTTCAGTCCAAAGCCTGAAGCTCAGTCTTCTAGATGCTGCACCTGGGATAATGTGTCCAGACATGGGCACCCTCTTGTGCAAGAGGGTTATTAAGAAAATCCGAGAGTGTATTAAGAAATCAGAGAGCTGTGAGGTGATCAGGAGCCCAGATTGCACAGCCCAGCAGAAGCTGAGGGAACTAGGCCTGTTCCAGCTGATGAAGCACGGATACTGATCAGTGAATTTCAGAAGATGAAATCAACACTTCCCAAGAACTGCAACAGAATACATATTTGGCTGCATGCTGAGATTAGAAGCCAATTTTTGTTTTGATATGCCAGTCTGAAAACTTTGCTAACTTATGCATGGAAAAGCAAATCAAACCACCATGTTTTAGAAGACTTTGAAACCAACAGAGATGCTAAGAATTCTTTTGAAAAAAATATATCATAAGTAACAAAAATAAAACTGCTATTAAATAGTCCAAAATGTTGAAACAACTACTTTAGGCTAAACCAAATGTTGATCATCTGGCTTACAAGCTGTAAACATAAATGAGTTTCACATTTATTTACCTGTGTATGTCAGATAGATGACACTCAGGAATACAGTACCAGCAGCTAGTGAGACACCCAAGAAGAACAATGTCTGAAATTCTTGCTTTGTTAATCTGTCTCTCAGATACTGCAAAAATGCGTAAGCCTGCAGCAGTGCAAAAACACCTATGGAAAGAGGAAAGTTCTTGTATAAATGCTCAAAAGCAGCACAGCTGTTAAAGCAACCAGCATATTTGCCTATATTTAAATTGGAAAAATAAATATAAGGCACACTCTAACATCTAGAAACTACTATAACATACTTTCTGACAAATAACCTTTAATACTTAACAAAGATGACACTTTCATGCAAAAACAGAAACTTCCAATGAGATAAAATATTCTAAAGGAGAGAAACACCTGAAAACCAGATTGCATTGATTATGAGAAGAATACAGATTAACATACCTATCTAGATGTGGTGAAAAATTAAGAGACAGACTTCAGGCAACACATAATGCTAATACGGAAATATATGCAAACTAAGAAGATACTGAGTAAAACTGGAGGAACTGATGAAAGAAAAAACCAAACCAAGTAAGTATTAAGTCAACTGAATTATAAAAAGTTCATGTTGAAATACTAGAATTCACTGGTGAAGCACCCAACACTCTCAAAAAAGGCTGTTCAGAGTTTAACATTAAACCCAGAAATTGGACATAGTATTTCAGTATTATTCATTTCACGGTATATAATCAGATCAATCCACTGATGAATCCTTTCAAAAGTCAAAATTCAATGCTGACTGATAGAGGAATAAAATAAAACAAAAGTGTATTGCCTTTCTTCAGGTTAACAAAGAATTCGAGGTACACAATGAAATTCACTAGTTCTGAACTCCTAGAGAAAGACAAAAATTCTATTCACTAAATAAATGTAAAATTATTCAGAATCCAAACACAGCTTGGTAATTTTTTTCTTTTTCCATTATATTCAGATTGTTGCAAATCTCCATTTTGAAAGTATTTTTGTATTAAATTTCAATGATGGTCCCATCACTGTCCCAAATACATTTTGGTAAGTGACTAAATATAAGAGAAAATCTGGGGAATATAACAATCTGAACTATATCACACAAACAGTGCAAGCACTTAAAGTCAGTGTTGGCAGAGGTTATTGCTGTCAAGAAATCAAGATCTCTGACTGCCACCAACTACTGAAAAATCAACTTAAATCAAAAAAACCCAAACAAGATTGAAATCAGTTATTTAAAAATCACCCTCCTGATTAGTAACTTAGCCTGCTTTGAAAGATTACAGAAGACTATCAACTCTAAAACCATTTCGCTCAGTAAAAACTGCATTACTAGTAAGAAATGTTTCAACTGTACAACGTGTGAAGGCAACATTGTATTGCAAAGCAGCAGAGATTATCAATGTGTAAAGTAAGGCTTGTCAGAATGCTAATCGAGCCAATCTTATGGAAGCATTTTACCTCCATTAGCCCACACAAAAAGAGGATAATGTGTCAATTGGAAAGAAGACTTCCCAACGGACACTAAATTATACCTTTCTTTAATAATATGCCTTGTTAGCCTGGGTTTTTTCTAATACATGGAAACAAAGCTGCAAGTGCTTGAGGTTTTCCTGTGTTAAGCAGGCTTTGGATGCAGAAGTTTCATTTTCTTACCTGCAGCTGCCATGTGTTCACTTGTTCTAATTGGCTGAAATCCCACAAAAGGTATTTGCATCGATAATATTAACCCCACAATGTAGAAAGTGCTATATGCTAGGAGAGAAAAATGTGAGGAGAGGGGAAGAGAAAGACGGTAACAAAATTAATACACATTTGAAAAAGCATTGGCTCCATCTTCAAAGAGAAGTCCATCTCCCCTAACTTCACTGACAGCAAAACAGAAGTGTACTATGTTAAATATTTCAGCCATCCTAATTACTTTTTTCTTCTTTGACTACAATAAAGCTGTCTATTGCAACCAATTTTAGTGGATATAGCAAAGTAGTGTTCTTTCTAACTGCACTGTTTTTTCTCCTCCTAAGAAAATAATCCATTTACCTAAGATTCTCCAGCTTGAAAAAAAGTTCTCGTTTTTGAGAGTCATGGATGTGGAAGGAACTCTCAAATGACAAGTGACATAGGCTTTCTTTATGAGGAGAAATTGAAAGGACCAGACCTTAAAAAAGCAAAACATTTAAAGAGTCCACTACTTCTTTAGAAAATGCAACCAGGCACCATTGCTCTTTATTTAACATAAGAGCAGAGGGAATGCAAGAAATGGAACAACAATTGAATTAAAAATTAATATTAAGGATATGTATGATAGAGCTGTATCAACTCTGGGGATTTATAAATCCCCAGAAAATAGAGGCCAAGAGCATCATTAATATTAACATTACTATTATTAATATGAATTCTTATTGCATATGCATTAACATTCATATACTTTATTCTGAAAGGGGTTTTGGTCCTCAGTATTACAGGGTGAAGAGGAGATGGAAGAGGAAGATAAAAGTATCAAATGTGGAAAGCCATGAGGCTGATTACATTTGAACTAAACAACCAACTTGAAGTCCAAATGAAGTTCTGTTCCTTCAGTGGCAAACAGCAATAATCCACCTGTCAGATTTTTAAACTCCTAGAAATCCTGAACTCCTATCTGTCTACAGACAGCCTGGATCTTACGAAGAGATGCCTGTTCTCATAGTCCTTTACTAACCTCCATGAGATCAGTTCTGTGGAGTGCATCATTGAGCAGTGGTGTCACTTCCATAGCACCTATGTGGTCTTGCTGAGGGTTTATGCTCCCAGGGCACTGTCTCAGTCCCAAACCAGTCAGAAGTGATGGGGATGATATTTCCAAGCACTCAGTTTATTTTTTCAAGCACCTGTATTGCACAGCTTGGCCTGGCTACTCATCTATGCCCTCTAAGTCACTGAAATGCATTTTCCTGTAGGAAGCTCAATTTTTGAAGGATTCACTACAACATAAATCATTTACTGTACCATGCAACTGTTACAACACTGCCATCCTGTGGAAGTTCAATGATTGGCATAAATCATTTCACATTTGTTAGACCACTGTAAATCACCATTTTTAAGCCCAGTCCTGCAACTGCTATACTTGCTAAGTGCACTGCTCAACCCCACCCAAATTCCTTACTCCCACTTCTTTCAAAAAGCTACATACTGCCCGGTACTGAAAAGATTTTTAAAAAAGGTAATTTAAACAACACGACAATTTTTCTAGGAACTTAGAAACATCAGGATGATATATCATCACAGACTTTTCACGTTCCTTTATATTCTATAGTTTGCACAGTATTTGCAAAAGCAAAAAGTTAATTTTGATTCCTGCATGCTGTTCTTATGGTTATAACTTTGACCAACTCCAGAAAAAAAAAAAAAAATCATTCTGATCTACTGTGGATAAAGTCATTTTACAAATAATTTAATTTGCAGTATACCACACAAATACAGGAAAGACCTGCTGAAAAGCTTCTCCAGAGAGTATAATCATATGTTGGCCACATACTTTCAATGAATGGATTACAATCACCATAAATAAACAATCTGAAATTTTAGATGATATAAATATATGCCTGTTCACTGCTTGAATGATAAAATTCAAGACCTATAACAAGGAATTACTGAAATGAAGTTTTAAATTCTGGAAGATCCTCAAGTGTTTTATTATATATTCTGATAATTATACAGAACCTAAAAAAATTGTATGAAAAGTTATTATATTGTAGTGAGCAAATATAACATAAATCTATACCCTTCCAAGAGTAAAACCATTTATTTTTTAAACATATGAGAAACTAAAGAGAGACTACAATACTAGAAAACAGTATCAATGGTTGCTGTATCTGAATAAAGAAGCTGTTCATCTCTCTGCTAATACACTGGAATTGTAAGCATTTGTTCATAATGATTAAACTAGAGGGTCTGAATGAAAGGCACTGGCCATTGTCAAGATGAAAAAATAAAAGCACAGCTTGAGCTTTCAAATGGATCTAGCATCATCACTACTGATGCCAAATGGGTCAGAAGCTATCTGGCTAATAAAGTCATTTGCCTTCCAGCCCTAAAATACTTTAAAATTGGCAAACCCTTCACATTCTGGAAATTTTTACTCATTACATGATTCTGAATTATACTCCCAGATATATCAATCATGTCCCATTAACCTTTTCCTTGGTGTATGAACACTCTTATGAAAAACATATACAAGGAAATCATCACTATTTTTAAAAAATTGGTTCTGCCAAATACTATTCTCTATGTTATGTTGGATTAAACTTAACACATCCTTTATAAAATGGCTCAAGCTAGCTTGAAATAAATTTAAATAACTGATCTAGAGATTAAAACCCCCCAAAATCCCCATAATAATGAAAAGAATGTAGATTTTATTAGCTATTGTCAGCTGACAATATTTTTCAAACGTTTTAGCTGCACGTGGGTAGTTTTTTAAGAATTATGAGACTGCTGCAGGCATAGTAGCAATTGCAACAGAAACTCCCTAAATATCTTTATTCTCCCTGTTTCAAGGAGCTTTTGTAAACTCTTCTTCCTATCTGAATAGTTTGGAGGTGAAGCACACTTGAATTTCCTCTGAGAAGTACTTGAACATTCTTACCTGGTTTATAAAAATATCCTGTTAAACAAACCTAGAAATGACATAGTAATGTGAGATGTACAGACTTCTCTAGGGCTTCCCATGAAAGCTTAAATTAAGACAGCAGTTGCAATGAAACAGGAGAGCAGTGATCACATTTTCACTCTGACAACTCCATGGCAGCACATATCCCTCACTGCTGAAGGGCAATAACATCTCAAAACACTGTAGCTATTTGCAAAACAAACATCTGCCAAACCCTTTAATTCTTATGAACATGCAGTACTATTTTCCCCACATGAGTTCAAAGATTAGTTTACTGCAAGCTGAAAAAGCTAAGCACTTATTCTTTACTGTTTCTGGCTGCCATATTGCTTCAGGATTTTGTAATTAGTAGATTTAATTTTCTCTTGCCTAATTTATAGAAATCAGAAAATGAAAATATTCAATGAAACAATTTTAAAGGGAAACCAAGATTAATTACTTTCCCCTTAAGATGAGAAGAAGTAGTTAATGAAGAAGTTAAGTAATACTAACATTAAAAATTATGGATGCGTTAGAGCTTTTCCTCTTTTTTAATTTTAACGCATTTCCAATTCCCAATTACATAAAGTAACAAAGAAGTATAGAAGCAGTATTTAAAGTTTTGATAACAAAAATTCAAAACTCGAGTAAATTGAGCAATTATTGTGGCATATAATGGTTCATATATATGTACAGAAAGTAATTTCTCTAGCAGGGACTAAAAAACCCTATTAAATATTTTAAATAATTAAATTAATTATTAAAATAATTAACAATACAAAGATAAAACAGTATTAAAATGAGGAATGAAAACATATTTACAAATATGAAACGCCTTGTGATTATGCTTCAGCTCACATTATGTTCTCTACCTACCTATGGTAAAGGCTTGACATTAAAAATGTTCCAGCTAACTTCTAAATCTCAGAATACCTGAATTGCTTACTAATTATTCCATTCACACACCTACATGATAGCTGACTGATTTTATTGGTAAAGTGTCAGTAAAAACCAGTTTACACAGTATTTAAATGGCAGGCAAATCAATAAAAAACTTAGGCTCCTATGATTCCTATTCACACATTCCTGAAACTGGAAGGAAGGCTGACCAATTAATCCAATAAAATTTTAAGGAGTCCCTGGAGTGAGCAGACTCTTACTGTGCACACCTTGTCTCAGTGATCTAAAACTAATCTAAATCTAAAACTTAGATTGCTTAACATTTCCTATGTCTTTATCTATATGTTTGCATAACTTCTGCTGTATACTTATAAAAATACAAGTTGTTTTATATACTTGGAAAGGAAAAAAAATATAAACCATTATTAAAGGTATAGATATGTAATGCATATTTAAAAGATATTAACAGGACTCTTTTACATCAAACCACCCATTTTTCTTTCCCAGGCACTAGAAAGGAAAAAATAATTAGCAGCTACATATATGAAATTTTGGAAGTATGAGTATGTTTCAAGTCCTTATTTCCATGTTGTAGAAAAAAATTGACTATAATCAGTAATCAGATTAAAACAACTCAATCTGATATGCAATTACTTAACACCCACTTGATACAAAACACATCACTACAATAATTTTGTACTTCATGTTTAAGTATTTGAGCATGACTTTGCAATGAACAGAACTTACCAATGTAGACTCTCCTGCTGTATCTTTGCATCAGCAACAGAACAAACACATGCAGTGGAATAAGGTTGATGATGAAAACATAACCACCCCATGCAGAGACCTACAACAAACGGAACAGGAAATTAGATATGAAAATATCTGCAGATTCTTAGGACAGCCCATGCTGGATTTATACCTCTTGATGGTCTAACAAGAAAACACAAAGCTCATCTACACAAGCAGTCAGAACTACTAGTACCACCAATCATTCTCAATATATATTATGGGAGTAAAACAACCACAATAAAGCCCACATATCAGAGGTGCTTGAAATGGGCTGATGGATTTCCTGGACCACCCTTCCTGGATCTCCTCCTTCCAAGATAATCTGGTAATTCTGGCAAATAAGAATGTTATGCTGGAAGCTTTTCCCAATGGTGAGGGCTTCAACACATATCAGTGGTAGGACCTGCAGGGCCACGAGTTGGACATGAGATGATCTTTGTGGGTCCCTTCCAACCCAGGATATTCTATGATCTCATGTAGGATTCAAAACTTTCTTTTGACAAATTTAGCACCATGCACTTTTTGCTGAGGACAGGGAACATTATCTCCAGGCAGAGAGGGGAAAGGGAGCAAGGTACACCTCCAGGAGCAGAACTCCAAGACCAGAGCAGCCAATGCAGATTGCAGTGTAAGGAAATAAACAAAAGGAAGAGTACAGATGCACATGAAAGCAGGACTGAGCACTGTGGAATGATATACAACAATAGAGATATTGCAGAGCCGTGGCAACAAGAGCTGTTGGGAAGGACTGCTATGGTGTACTTAGAACTGAAACACTACAGTGGTATTAACAGATCACTGATTGCTGGTTTAGGTAAGGATTTAATGAGCTATCATTACAATGCCTTACCTAATTTTCTAACATATTTAAAAGGGCTCATATTGACTAGACAATCTGTATTTTAACACATCTTTTCATCAAATTACAGTCTAGACTGCTCCCATATGCACCATGCCTACCCTAGATCTTCATTTTTAGTATACAGTAGCTAAAGTGGTTTTCACTTTAATTGTAATTTAGGCTTTAGATTCATGTAGCTATTTTTAAAGCCCTAGAACCCAAAAAGAAACCCAAATTACTATGTTCTATAGAACAGATTCTAAAAAAACGATGAGGTCAAGTATTACTGTCTTTTGACACTAATACTACAAAACCCAGCATTTCAAAATTTATGGTAAGCAATTCAGACAATGTGAAACAAGTAGAATAAAATAATCTACGTTTTCTAGTAACTCATTTCAGATTATCAAAATCCTATTACTTAATTACTTGTAGGAAGTATCACGGTTTACACAGGTAAGTTTATTTAATGGGAGAAAACACTGTATGAAGACAGGTAAGATAGTTCAAACATGGAAATAGAACACTGTCAAATTCAGGGAAAGGTTTGAATGAAGGAGGTTGCAGTTTGCATGGACCAGAGACCTGCATCCCTAATTATCAAAATATGAACCCAAATCTAAGCACCAAAAATTATACTGAAGATGCACTTTGGAACTTTTCAAAGAAAACTGAGGCATCCTCACAGATTGGCAAAAGGAGTGGAGACATGCTATTACTCCTACAGGATTGCTTCAGTGTAAAGCTTTCCTTTATTTTACCTCCTTGTCATGAAAAGCCATATGAAGCAGAAGCTGATGAAGCAAAAGAAAGGCTAAAAATATAAATCCATGGAGAAAACACCCTTCTCTATATTGAATGTAATGTAAGGTCATGAGTCAAGTTACCACAGTGAGTTAGGTATATATTATAAGGCAGATTTAGTTATCAGGAAAGATTTGTCAGTTCATGCAATATCCATTCACCTTTCAAGCCGTTCTCCCAACTTCCCATTCAAAGACTGACTCTTACTACCTCAAAATCGTGATCTACCTTCCAACTTACACTGAAAATGACTAATTTCATCAGAGAAAGACAAATTATTATAATGAAACAAATATACAATTATGCTTTGTCCTAAAAAATTTACTCAAGCAAAATATCTAGAAGGGCAACTCCTCAAAATTCTTTCCAAAAGGGAAACACAATACAGGGAAAGCCATCACCTATGTGGGATGAAGTAGATCCAAGCAATAAAATTCTATCATCTAATCACTGAGATTTGAAGCTAAACTACAGATGAATCTGAACCTTTCATGAGCTGATAGAACTTGAAAAGAAAATAACAGCACCCCCCATTTACATTCAAGGATTGATTGTCACGACGACATTAATTCTTAAATTCTGATACCATGCACACACATTATCACATACTCTCACATACAATCCCACACACCAAGATCATAAAAACCTGTTATTGTGTGATTTTTAGCAGTAAAATCGTGAAAGTATTGTATTTGTTATCAGTATGTTTATAAAGGCACCTTAAGAGAATCTTACCAATAAATTGGCACAATATAAAAAAATACTGCACTATATAAATATAATGATTAAAAAACTTGCTTTCAGCTTTTGTACTGCACTTAAACATGTACCAAAGCTACAGGACCTTTTCACTATAATGCTATATAAACAGCAATGCTGTGTATAAACAAGTGGCTCTCTATTAAGTAATGTGGCAAAAAGGAGGAGAAATTGATTGAAATAAATGTACTCTTAACAAGAAATAGCTATCTTAGCCTCTTTGGTGACAAACACAAGGCTATTATTTCCTATATTAACTGCAAAAGTCTCCCAGGAAACCAAACAGACATTAAAGCTAGAGGGAAACTAGACAGCATCCAGACAACCTTTGAATTAACCTTGACTTTAAGGCACATAAACCAATCCAGAAGTTCCTTGTTCTTGCAAACCTAGTTACCTGATGGTAGAAAAGCAGTATTTGAGACTTCAGTCTTAACTGCCAGCAAGCAATTAGTCTGGTTGTCCCACCACTGGCTATTTTGAGGATAATTTATTTTTCATACAGCCTCAAAGTTTATCAGGGGGAAAAAACAAAAATCCTTGATTCAAACAGGAGAATTCTTCAAGTCTAAGATTTCAGAAAATGGAGGAGGGAGAAAACCAATTCCCTCCATTTTTCTATTAGGTTTATCTCCTCATTTTTACTACTGTTTTCCCCCTCTGTCAGCCCTTAGGAAAATCTCTGCAATAGCCTCCATTTTCACAGATCAAGAATGAAAAGGGCTTTTATGATCATTTATGATGACATTGAAGTCATTCATCAGTTCTGGTGGTAAGCTTTACTTCATGGCATAATTACACCCATAGAAACAGCTTTCAAAATTACAAAAATGTAACTTTGTCCTTACATTCTAAATATTCTGATTATTATTGCATTATAGTAATGGCATACAGACACGAATATCAAAATTATACCTTAATTTACCTGTATCCAAATAAAAATCCAAATGAATCAGAGTACCCATTCACAGCATGGGAAAAGTTTGTAATTAAAGTTATTATATTTCTTTTTTTTCTCAAAAAGTACTTTAATCATGTTGATTTAAGTACATATTATGTTGTCTAGTCATATATTTAAGGTTTTAATAACAATACAAAGCAACAATTTTATATTATGGCTCCAACAAAGAAGAAAATATCCTTTTCTTCTTTGTCAACACATGGACAAATAGTTTAGCTATTATATATATAAAAGCCTTACCATGTAAAAGTAGGATAAACAGCAGCAGATTGTCCAAAAGACTGACCCAGTTTTCACAGACTTCACCTGGAAAAATAACCAAGTATTTATGAATGACAAACCCTGGACAATACTCTGAAGTTTCATTCTAAAACAATTGTTGAGAGAACTTCTTTAGCCCACATCAAGTTATATTTTATGCTTATGAACTGATGTCCATAAAATCGTAACACAAATGCACTTCTTTCACACACAAAAGGAGGTTAGATGTATTTCTCTAGCAAAAGCATACAATCCAATGGTTACTTTCTCTGAGACATTAGAGCGCTTTATAATTCTAAGTGAAGACCATCCATGCCTTAATTTGTCTGGCATCCGACCCAACTCTGCCATTATAGACAAAAGAGCTATTCTGTAATTTTAAAAAACTCACTTAAGGTTAACGAGAGCATCCAGGTACTACTAAAGGTTGAGCAGGATCCAGAAACTGGCCCGGGAATAAGAATTTGTCTGAAACTCATGTGGTGAGGGAGAACAGGAATGAAGAACACACATTTCAAAAAGCTAGAAAGTTGTCTACAAAATGGATTTGATTCTACAAGAGTTCATGCAAACATTATTGCACTCTGCAGTTTAATTAAATATGAATGAACATGTGAACAGATAACTGCTATCATATCTCAGTTACTCTAAAGTAACAACACAGGTTGATTCTATTATTGTTATCAAACACAGCACACCTTTCCAGCTGCAGCTTAGTCTAAAACCAGATTTTAAAAAACTGCATTTAAGTAACACCAGTCACTCAGTCATGAAAAATTCAATTATCTTCCATTATATTCCCACCAACTATATCCCAAGTTTGAAATATTCTAAAGCTAAAACGTTTGTGAATATGCATCTGCTTATGAAAACCAGAACTCTTGACAAAATTATGGAGAAAGCTATAGTGACCATGACTTACATGGAACCACTCTAAATTAAAAGTACAGGCATTCCAGAATACACAAGAGACAGTACCCTAGAGTGTCTGTACTGAATTAACAATATAGTTATGCTATTTTTGTTATTTCCAAAGTAGGTCCAACAGGCCAGAAAAACTCCAGCTTTCCTTAACTCATTCCTGCAAAACTACTTTACAGATGAAATTCTGCACAGATAAAGGAGAGGCATACATGCTGTTTTAGCAAGCAGGCAAATTAAAAGACCTAACACTGGTTTTTTTAAGCACACAAGTAACACTAATATCTGACTCTAGACAGCTTTGACTATTTAATTTGGATACTTAACTCAAAGCCCAGACCCTCTATACAGTCAAAAGTATTTCCAGAAGACAATTCAAAGCACTTCGTATTCAGAGTCTACTGCTTTCCTCCAGCTTTATAAGGAAGCTAACATTTGATGCACACAAGACTAACAGGTCCAAACTGAAAAACAAACAACCCTTCTGTTTGCTTTAAATTTATAGACTCATCATTGTTTTTATTACTACTACAGTGCTTCAGTGGAACCATGCTTTTACACAGCAAACTGAAGAGCATGATTATGGAGTGGTTCAGATCATGTGACTTCTCAGTACTTGCCTAATCAAGAGCCAAAGGGAAGAGGGATGAGAGGGAGGAAAATACGAATTCAATGGATTCTAAGAAAAATCAGTCATTTGGTTGGAGGAGGAACCAAAAAACCTTTCGAAAGCAAAAGACTCAGCAATTACTTACCCATAAATAGTATGTGAACTGCAGTGCAAAAATAGCTATGCCTTCATTGTCAAACGATCCTGCTACTGATCGGGATATGTAACCTGGAACTATGGCGATGAAACAGGCAGCTAAAAGCCCTGCTCCCTGGTTCCACAGTTCTCTGGTGAGCAGGAAAGTAGAAATAGCTGTAAGGCCGCTAAAAACTGGTGCTAGAAACACACACACATCTCTTATATGGACTGTCACATTAAGCATATTTAAAATCCAATGTATAAGGCCTGCTGTCACCATCAGTCCTGGGTATACCTATACGAAGACAAAAACCAAAACAAACCAGAACACTGGGTTATTAAAGACAACTACATGGTAGGGTTGTTTACACAGAACTTGCAATGAAACAATAATTTTTTAAGCTGATATAAGCAGTGAGTATTAGCATAAGCTAACAGAATTATTTTAGTACTACTTTAATCATGTTTTGACAACACCACTGAATAGCCTAGGCTCTTTAAATTTTATCCAAATGCTAACAATAACATATAATCTACTTCATAAATGAATGAGCAGCATACAGATAATATTCCATCTTGCTTGACATTTATCATACAATGAAAAGAATTTGTTATTAAGGTATGGAAGCAGAAACCAAAATCTGCAAGAGAATTTCAAGCCAGCTACCAGTTTTAAGGAAAAAAAACACACAAGCCCCAAAAGCCTAAGATATCAAGAAGAAACGCAAAATTTCCCAGTAATATCCATTTTCCTTTAAAGTATACCATGCTATTCTTTCACTTCTTGGTATCAACAAAGAAAGAAAATGTGCTTCAACGAGATTTAATTTTTTAAAGTTGAAAAGTTGATGGTCAGTCAATTGAGTGCTGTATTTTCGCAAAATATCTGTAGACATCTTCAGATATGAAGGACTAAAACGAAGTCCTGTAAAATTGAATTAAGATGTGTTCCAGGAAAGGTAGCATGGACTTACACAAATCTATTGAACCCACCACGGACTACTGGAGAACTTTAGAATGTTCTTAATAGGAACTCTACCCTCCCACATTTATCAACATTAGAAAAATCAATGCATCCTAGAAAAGGCAATATGTACTTCACCTGCCTTAGTTTCTTTCAAAAACCAAGAAGGGCATTGTACTAAATTAAATTAACAGATGACTGAATGCTCCCTTGCATGTATTTCAATTCCTTTTCCTAAGAGATTTTATTTTGTAAAAGACAGGTATGGAAAACATGCATTTACATGTTGCATAAAGAGTGTCCGGTATCTCTAATATACTAAAACAAACGGTGATCTAACTGCTACAAAAAACTTGTAAATTAAGTGGTATATACTATCATTAAAAAGCTTTCATGAACTTTTACACATTAAGAAACACACATGGTTGCATTACTTTGTGTTACTAAAGCTATTCCAATGAGTGATATTTGCATTCTGATTGGATAACATCGTTTTGTACACCTTTTGTCTTGTAAATTGCACTGATACCAATCTTAACTAGTCCTGATGCTTCGTACAGAGGCCACACTGATCTAATTTCACAAGGTCTTCTCCCAGTGAAATCGAAACTTTTTCCATACAGACATAAAGCCTACTCATCATTGCATAAAAACTTGGACCTTAAGAGATTTAGGTAACGATTTTAAAAAGTTTTTTAAAAAAATGTTTTTCCTGTTTTGATTTCATATACCGGAATTTCAGGATCATAATACCCTGATTTGTTACTATTAGAATTTCACATGTAAGGAAGTTCTGTATTTCTTTGTCACAATGTGCTAATGGAGAAAGACTAAGGCATATTGACTTACTTAGTTTCTGCAGTTAAAAATTAAAAACACCTCAGTATTCCCTCTATAGCAAGTTGACAATTAAAAGCATATTCTCTTAAGATTCTCCTTTATCGAAGTCAAATTTGTACTGAAAGTTCATAAAACTTCCTAAAAAGTGATCTTTAATTATTTTTTACTTATTAAATTGATTTTATTTTAATAAAGTTATTATTACAATACTTACAGTTCCACCTACTATTCTTCCTAGTGGATACCATGCTCTTTCGTCAAACCAATTTAAAAATTCGTAAAACCCATGAGATGCAAGATGATGTGTTGATCTATAGTTAAACCTAGAAAGAAACAGAAGGATAAGATAAAAACCAAGAACTTTAGCATCTAATCTACTATGTAAATACAATGGTCCTCTCTAAACCTGTGCAGTAAATTACTAAGTTCTCAGCTACTAACCACTATATTTCCTTTGCTGCTACAGCCAGTGCATGTACCACAGATGACAGTTTACAGTTTTTGGCGAGTTCGTTTTTGTGCATAAACATTAAAAGGTTTTCTTTCACTCTGATACAACAGTCTGGTTATTTTTTTTACTCATTTCTAAAACTACTCATTTTCAAATATGGTCTATCACATGCAGTCAATGCAAGACTTCCATTCTGAGACAGGATAGCTACACGCTACATTTGCTGCTGCCCTACTTCATGTCAAATTGACAGGTGACTCATTCAATAACAGACAACAGAATCAGTCTGTTTGTTCACACTATCAAACTTCTTTCAATCAATAAGAATTTACACACTGTAGAACCTCTGTAAGTGAAGTTTCATCTTCAAAGTTTGCACATTCTCTGCGGCAGAGAATTTTCTGTATAACAAAAGATCTCTCATGCACACCACCTTCAGTTCAGCCTTCCACACTGCGTAAAAACCATTAAAAAACCACCAGCAGACTGCTATTAAGGAATTCATCTTCCATCTTCCTGGCACAAAATACATCAAACACCTGACAACAAAACTTTTAAACTTTTAAAATGTCCATTAGTTCTTGAAACTAGGTATAAGGCTGCAAAAAGCACTACAGTGCATGTTGTCCTAAACCAGAAACTCTTGCATGATCATTCTTTCAAAGGCCAAACTAAAAAAAAGGCTACAGATATTGAGAATGTGAAGTTTTGTAGAGAAAAGCCTGGGTGAACACAACTTCTAAAACAAGCAATATTCACAAAGCCAATCCTTCTAATAGATATGCTAATTGACTTTCAGTTAACCATGTGAAATTCATTAGTTAAAGAAGTATTAAAGATTTTATTCATTAGTTAAACGGAAATTCAGGTGAAATGGAATACCTACAACAGACAAAAGGTTAGACGGGCAAACTACCATGAAAACTTCCGAAGACTCTGCATGAATTCAAGCCTAGAAAAGCTTGTGTGTGTTTTTCTTTTTATCTATTTTATGGAAACATCCCCTCACATCAGATATATGCATCCCTTCTGACAAAAAATTTTAAACTAAATCAAATTTTTTTGCATATCTAGGATTCCCAAAATATCATAGGTTTACTTTGAACCAATTCATTTCCACAGAATAAAGCTAAGGTCATTTAAGACTGCAAACCCCATTAAGTTCCTAATTGTTTAATCAGTACAAGTAATATCTGAAATAAAGCCACATTGAGGTCATGAGCAGATTTCTTCATCTACACAGTGGAAGAACAAAAAGAACTGAAATTCAGGTTCAGATGTCAGCAAATTTGCATATTTCAAGTGTCTGAACTATCACAGTGTCAGTCAAATGATATTAAACATAAGTAAATAACAAAGAGTGAAGTACTTTCAGGAACAGTCTCTTACTATTAAATAAGCAGACATATAGGATACATTAACTGATAAAACTGTGGACTTTCAGAAGTCATTAGTCACGTTTACATAAGAAAATTCACACGAACATCAGTCATTCTGACCTAGAAATCTTTGATTCAAACAGCAATGTGACATTGGTTTCTAATAAGCCTACAACTATTCCCGTTTGACTAGATTTCTAAATATTAATTAATTCTCCAGTTCTGAACTGTCAACTCTAATGTGATTTCTGAAATGCTGTACCTGTAAAATTAGCCTCTTATCTTAGGATAGCAAGGTCTGTTGTTAATTTGTTTAGTGCCAAGTGCCTGCAGTATGGTATGTAACAAATTAGGAGTTTTGTGTTGCACAAGATACACAGAATCCATCCAGCTAGACTGGACTGAAAAGACTGAAAACCCAGCGAATATTGTTATCCTAGAACTTCAAAAAGATGTTTACTAACACGGATTACTTTCGAATTTTTAAGTCATGACTCAAACTCACAGAGGCTACAAAAGTATTACTAATATTTACTTTTACAGCATCAAAAGATTAGTTAAACAAATGAAATAGGCAAGAAGAATACATATTGACATTCTCCTCATGTTTCCAAATAGCAAAGCTTCGTAACTGACTTCAGAAGGATGCGAACAACTGTGTTGAGCTTTGGCAGCATCCCATTAAGTCTTTATTAAGAATGAATTACCACTCAAAATTGAAATGCAACATAACAGCATTTTACTTCTACCACTTCAGAGGTAAGAATTTAAGCTTCCCTCCTAATATGCTCTTAGACAGACAAATCTATCAGCTCTTCTTTAGTAAAAGTGATTCTTTTGGCACAAATGAAAGCATGCAGTGACAGCTGGGCATGTCTTTACAGCAGAAATTACTGGCAATACTATAGGTACATTACTTTTTCACTGTGAGAAGACCCGTGAGAACAAGACACAACCTTCTAGACACAAAACTTAAAACTAAAAATATTTAGAAGCTTAATTCAGCGTCTAAATTAAGAAGTCAAATAAAGTAAAAAAATAAAAGTGACTTTGACTTTTTGACTTTAAAAAAAAAAAGTGCCCACTTCACTTCCCACTAGGTTACTTGCAAACAAAAGTAAGTTAAAATGTCAATATAAACATAAGCACACATCAGGAAAAGGCTGCTGTGATGTTGCATATCAAAGCCAGTTTTGAGCATGGACAAACTGGCAGCAATGGGCAGTGCACCAGACAAAAGTATAGTCTGGCAATCATATGATCCAGTATTATACTTTGATACCACTTAGCCCTTCACAGCACTTTTCTCCATTAGGGACAAGCCTGAACCTTATGAAACTGTTTCCCTTTAAGCTAGAATGGAGAGCACTGCTAATAAACAGTGAGCATCACAAACCAGTCACACCTTCTTACTATCTTGGTACTTTTCAAACTGTGCTTGAAATGCAGCACAGTGGTATTGTATTTCTCCTGTATTTCTACCACAGTACCTGCAACAATCTATAGGTTTCACAGGGGTGTAAAACAGCCCTGGTAAATATTAAAAAAACTGCCACCTTTTCCTACACCTGCATCTGGGAGATTCAGGGGCTGCAGGTGAGGGAGGAATCAGAATGGAGGCAAGAACAGCCAGTGCTGGGTAGAGATTGCATGTCAAGTTTGGGGATCCCAGTTCTTCCACTTGCAGCAGCAATAAAAGGTGGTATTTAGGGTTTTTATCCAGCCCTCCTTCTGACCTACTCCATCTTATCCAAGGAGACACTGGAACTGAAGTACACTGCTGGTTGCACTGACTAAACAGTATGCAGCATGATGTGACAGAACCAGAGTGAAGGACAGGATCCCTTTTCTGCCACCTTCAACCCTCACATCCATCTGATCTTGAGGTATGGAAACAGATTACACATTTCCCAAGATTCCCTCCATCCTCCCTCACTCCCTTGAGGCAAGTCGATTTGAAACAGACCTGAGAAGAATAAAGAACAAAATTATGTGAAGCACATGTTAATTAAATACTTAGCTAGAAAAACGGAGTTAAATATTCAAGTTCTCAGTCCATGCTGTGAAGAAGATACAGACTTGCTAATATTCAGCTGAGGGCCTGGCACCAGGAAGCACTGACTTATTTCAGTTAACGCTCTAGGAGGAAAACTGATGCTCTGCTGTTCTCCTTGCCTCTTTCTGTCAAGTCTGTAGTTTGAACTATTTCCTCCTCCAAGCTAAGCTTTAAAGGAATAAACAATCCTAAGTCTGCACGTTTCAGAATTCAAAGCCCCAACCACCAATCTAGGCTGGTACTGTAGTTTGAACCTTTGGGGGCATGCTCTAATGATCATCTAAGTACTCTGTGTATGGTACCATTAATTTTGTGGCACTGTTGGAGATACCTACATTACAGCTGGTTCAGTAGACAACTGGAGATAAGTTAATAAAAATACAGTTCTCATTTCATATATTTTAACATAGAACAGAGTATAAGCAGCAAGAGCAAAATAACTGAAACAGAGGCATAATCTTTTTTTTAGTAGCAACATTAACTTAGAAAGCTTAACTAGACAACTTGCAAAGCAAAGACTGTGAAGTTTTCGCTTATATATTATGCACTGTTAATACATAATCTTAACTATCTGTTCATGCTTAGGTTTGATTTTTATTCCTTGCTATGAACTGCCTTTTTGATGACACAAGGCAATACTGTAGGATGATTACTTAATGCTAGTCACAGCAATCACTTTCTATCCAGGAGCTACAGAATTCTCCAGCACTTCACGGCAACAATTACTGCTATATTTATAAAGAGACGTCTTTGACGTTCCTAGGTTTAGTATTTTCTTGACAAAGTACTATTTAAGGTGAGTATTAAAATAAAATTCAGCCTACTGAGAAAAAAGAACATATAGAAAAGAACAGCACACGTACAGCAGTGCAGTTACTTCATCCAGATCTTAAAAACGCTTAAGGCAAATTACACTGACAGCAATGGAATTCATTTGACCCCTCCATTCCAACAGAGTGCAAGATCAGTGTATTGCTTCTTGTGGGAATGGTGGCTGTCTAAACCCCAATCAATTTCATGCTATTATTGCCCCATCATCTAGACTTATCCAGCATTTTACAGCCATCTGAGAATATGTAATCTCCTTACAAGCAGAATGTGTTGAAAATTTTCTAAGCCTTCAATTATAAAGGCTTCTGTGCTTTAAAAGTCTTCAGCTGCAGATGCACAAAATTTTCACATCTGCAAACTCAGAAAAATGACAAGATACTAACTGTGAACATTACAAGCTATCTGAATAATTCTAGGAGTCAGTTTTTAATGCAAATGTAGATTACAGAATCAATTCAGCCATACAGAATCTAATTAGAGATGGCAAGTCTAGATTCTTGAAAAAGATAGTTGCGGGTTGACTCCATATCCAACATATTCTCTGCATCCAAAGGAAGAATATATTCAGCAACACTTTATGGAAAATCTAATGAGAAACTTCAGTAA